GAAAATAATGCCGTTTCATTTTCATTGAGAGAGAAAAATTGTTTCGTTTTCACGGCGACATCCAGCAGTGTGCTCATTTATAAAACAAAGAAACGAAAAAGGAACCATGGCTTCCGCATTAGAAACTTTACCAGATGAGCTTCTACTTATGATATATCTTTATTTAGAGCCGTACCATATTTTATTCGCTTTTCTACAATTGAACGCACGATTTGAACGTACTTTAGAAAAATACAAACAGGATTTATGTCCATACAATATGCATTATATTGATGCTGAACATTTGAATAATCAGCTAATTGATCTAATTCGTCATTCAGTTATGTCACTGACCCTGGATGATGAATTTACTGGTGGCATGTTATTCAAACATTTGTTCTTCCCGATGTATCCGCATCTTCGTTCTCTTCATATCCGATATTGCGATGAACAGCAACTGTCAATGCACATTCAGAATGTCATTCATATGTCAGAATTAAAAACGCTAAAAATCGATCAGCTTACGAGTCCATCTAAGAAAAACAATTTTGCTGAAGAAGATGGCAGAAAAGTTCAATTATTAAAGAACACTCTATACAGTATTATCCCAATAGAACAAGTTCATTTGCCAGGAACGATTTTTGACATATCATGTCAATATTTGGAAGCTCACTGCAATCTAATACAGCAACTTTTTGTAACAGACACTACTTTCTTTAAGTTATTCTTTCGTATACTACCATGGTCACGAAATCTACGCCATCTGTCGGTCAGTATAGGTGAAGACTACGATTTCGAAGAAGATCATTTTACTATGTTGACATTCTTACCTCTTCAACATCTTGTAACACTACACTTACACATTGATAGCTATGACGTAAAGTTTCCTCGTTTAACTGAAATCTTATTGCATGTCGCCCCTAACACGCTTGAATGTTTTTCACTAAGTGGAGTGTTCGAGTTTGAATTGCCTGATGGTGAAAGCTGGCGTGAAGTACTTTCTCAACTTCCTCGATTGACGAAGTTCAATTTGTTCTGTGAACAGCTTCTCATGCATGGTACAGAAAATGATTATGCTTTAAACGATGTCTACAACTCGTTTGCTAGTGACTGGTGGGTAAAAGAAAAAAAGTGGTTTATGACAATCTTACGTACCGATCTTCCTGCAACAGAATCGCTTCTCGAACATACGAAAATATATATCCATTCAGATCCTCTCGAAACACACACGAGTATTAATTTACCATTATCATCCATTAAACAAATTTTCTGCACCCGTCCTGATCATTTATCTGCAACAGATCGATATATTGCTGTCGAAAATCTAGAATGTCAAGGTTTGAGTGGTCTTCAAGCTTTTCCGAATTTGAAATGTCTAACATTATTTGATGGATCAGACACACTTCCAACAACATCGAATGAAATTCCTAATCTTAAGTATCTTACGCATTTAACTCTCAGCAAAATTAGTCTTACGAACATAGATGCATTGTTTTCACAACTAAAAACTGCTACTCGATGTCTTCGATCGCTTGCCATAACAAATGATATGGTTTTCGAATGTTTTCTTAAACAACATACTTGGCGAGGTATTCGGGAATTTCAGCTTTCCACTGAGGAAATTAACGATGTCCATATTATTGAACGTTTAGCTAACATACTGCCTGATCTACGCTTTTTACGTCTTGGACGAGTAAAATATGACGATTATTATGCGATTTTATGTGACACACTTAAGTATTGTCGAAATCTTATTGGATTTAAAACTTATTTTCTAGTTTTAAAACATTTCGAGACAAATACTGTACGCACGGCATTTGTTGAATATCTCGACGAGTTGTTATTGTACTACACGAGTCTCACTATTGGAACCTACAAAGCTACTTTTGATGAAGTGAATAACACATTGACTTTATGGTTATAGTCTATAGATACTATATTATTGGTTTGTTTATTTAAATATTTTCACTTTGGAAATGAAATATGAGAAGGCGACGCTGTACCAAAATCTTGTTATGACCTTATTTCTAGAGAAACATGCTTTTTTTAAACCTTTTTCCATTATTTTGACTATAACTGATAAAATGTGAAAACAAATAGATATCCATCATCAAATCTTAGTTTTATTTTATTCATCTTCGCTGCTCTCACCGTTCATGGGATTGTCATCCTCGTCCAGAAGTTCATTTTCCAATTCTTCCGCTGCTTTATCTGTAGCCCTGAATGTTTATTCGTGCTTCCCTTTGTTCGAAGTAACTAACGGCATGTTCCGGGCTTAACGAAGCTAACCATTCGTTAGCTAGCTGTGCTACATCGCTGAGACTAACGCGAACATTCAGAGTTCGTACATAACTTTTAAGACTAGTCCAACAAAGTTCGATTGAATGCAAGACAGAGTATTTTGTCGGAATTCTTATATTATTATTTTGTTATTGGTGCATACCCATTTTAAGTTCTCAATCACAATTGAGTGTTTTCATGCATGTAGTGAATTATGAAATAACAGTCATTAAAAACTGATGATTTTTGTGAAAAAGATGTTTATAACGTATCACTTTTGAGAAAGTCATAAAGTAAAAATGTAAACGACCAACATTCGTAGTCGGGCGAATAAATTGCGTTATCTTATTGTTAGTATTAAGTGATAATATTATTATTTTATTATCTAACAATAAGTAGAAATCTGTACTATGTCTACCTATCTATAGTAAAGAAACTGAACAGATTACACTAGGTATTTAGTCACTCTTAAATGTCAGAATGTTTTGAAAGTATACGTGCAAATAATGCATAATCTGTGTGAGCTTCTCTTGTACAATTTATGTTGCTTTTTCCTTAAGTAACAGCAGTATTCATACACTTACCGGCGATGTTTTCGTCTAATCAATACATTATGGTTTATGTAGAGTAAAGCCGTCTGTGATTTCATGAGAGTATATAGAAGAAGAACCAGGAAACAGATAAAGTTTAATCTTTGCTTAATTGTACAGTTCCACTAACTGAAATGATTTTCTTTTGATCATGCAGAGTCGCGGAAAAATGGATGTTTTTGTCTGCTTATGTATGATTTATTATCGAATACCTCTAACATGTAGCGATTGCTGTTGCCAGACAATCTTAATTTCCAATGAAGAAAAAGTGCAAAATCAATAGTTAATGTTGAGACGAAATATGAAAGTTATGTAGACCTGACTTTTGGATCATGGCCTTCTCAATACGAAAGTGTCTGCCACAATAAATTCTGTTAACCTATAACTCTTTGGTTATTGTTCGTCGTCTCTCTCTTTTTGTATCTAAATACTCAAAAATGGTTATATCTTATGTTGGTTATATGTTGGTTATTTTAAATGATTATATCAACGGTTATATTTTATTTTTGCTTTTCCTCATTTTGATAACGGTACGATCTTTTGGATATCACTTCAATTTCTTTCTTTTTCTGTTTTTTCAACCTTTATGCATTATCTACATTGTGTTCGTTATCTTCCTTTATGTAACGTCAACAATTCCACTTACAAACAAGATAACTTGGTTACCAACTATTGTTTCGACTTATCAAAATCAAGCAAACTAAAGTAAACTAAAGACTAGTCTGTCTTACGTATACATGAATCTATTGATACTACTTACTATGGTGACATTCTCATCTCTTCAACATCTTGTAACACTACACTTACACATTGATAGCTATGACGTAAAATTTCATCGTTTAACTGAAATCTACAAGCAAAAATGCTTAAAGTTGAAATTGTTAGAATTTCGACTAAACACTGTGTCTGTGACGAGGATGACAATCCGATGGACGATGAGAGCAGCGAATGAATGAAATAAAACTAAGATTTGATGATGGATATCTATTTTTTTTCTAGAAGCACACTGCTGGGTGTCGCATTGAAAACGAAACGACTTTTCTCTCTCAATGAAAATGAAACGACATTATTTTT